CCTGCACTTCCAACCCCATGCGGCTCACTGCTGTCTGCTTCCGAAGGTCCATGTATATGACACTATGATTGATATCATTGATCCAGTCCCAATGATCTTATTTCTCCCTGTGTTGATTCTATGGTTTGGATCTTTGGTCTGGGGTAGGGAACTTGATCATTTCTGGGTTACGACTCCTCTCTGCATTGGATTTAGAATCTGAAAGCAACTTTCATGCAGAAGACCAATTAACACCATAGGGATCACACCCACCTGGGGAAACTGGAAGGCTAACAGAAAGCCCTCTAGCATACAGAGAGGGGTAAAAGAAGGAGGCCTGAGAATGAGGCACCTTTCAGTCCTTACAACCATTTTTCCAAGGTTTCACTGCTACCAGCCTGCCCTTTTTGAAGGGGAAGTCTGTTGCCTTGCCCATTTAGAAATTATAGTTATGGGGTTGTTTTAAAAATCCTACCTGAACACTGCCCTTTCCTCATAGCCCAGCTCCTCTCACTGGCTATGTTTCAATTATAGAATCCCGACAGTTTAGGAGTCGGCCATTCAACCCATACTGAATCTATGAAGAGCATCCAACCCTGTCCCACCTTACCCTGTCCCTACATTTCCCACCCTAGAAACAATGGGCAATTTAGCATAGCCAATCCACACAGACTTCACTATGTGCAGACTCCACACAGACAGTGGCTCAGGATTGCTTTTTTACTAAAAGAATGGTGGATCTGTGGAATAGTTTCTGTTTGTCTGAATCCTGTTTCAGTGTAATGCTTCAAGTAAAAGCAGGACCTGTCTCTGACTGGAATATGTTGTACCATATAATAAAGCATGGTAGATAAAAGTATTCACTACCTTTCTCCTTCACTTGGGTCAATGTATTCTGCAAATAAACAACTTTATAGTATAAATAGATTCAAATTTATGCACTTCTGACAAAAAAAAAATTAAGGTCTCATATAAAATTCAGCATTTCATATGAGAAAAGTTGTAAAGTTTCCCTTCTTGGATCGGAACTTTCATTTTGAGGTCGAGAGCGTGAATTGTAAATGTAATTTACATCCATGCGGTGAAATGCAACAAAGACAGTGAACCAGTTCTGTATCAATGAGGTGTTATTCTCATTTGACACCTATGGATTAATACTTCAAGTCCATGGCACTTAGGAATCTAAGAGAAACTCAAGGAGTGAGGGTCCCATTAACAGGACCATTGGGTTTTGAGGAATTTGCTGATGTAGCCAAGCAAAATTTAGTTCATGTATTTTAAGTAAAACTTTTTTGAAAAAGCCAACTCTTGATCCTTAGGTTTTGTTGTCTTGTAGGACATTGATGTTATTTGAAGGGGTAAAATATTGTAAAACTATTAGATTGGCAGACTGTCACCAGGTGGTGTACCACAGGGTCGGTGTGAGGACCTCAGCTATTTGCAATCCAGTTTTAATGACACCTGAATGTTATGACTGTAAGTTTGCTGATGCTGTAATCTTCAGAAGGAAGGTTTGAGGAGGCTGCAAAGAAGCTGCAAAGCAATCTAGACAGATTGAGTGTGTGGGCAAGAACTTGACAGATGGACTATAACTGGGAAGTATTGGTATCCCGAGACCAAGGCAACCTGTACAAATAAGTCTCCACATAATGTTGTCTTACTTCATGTTGTTTCACACTAATGTCTTTAAAGAAGTAGTCTCAGTGTAACTGTTAAACATTGTCAGTTTCAGTTTAATGTCATTTGCCAGATTTCCTTTTCTGTATGCTCTTCACTAATCTCCTAACTCCATACCCATGGCTGTCAGTCTCCTGGCCTATTTTCCAGTGTTACCTCCCTGTAGATATTATCTCCTGGTCTTGCCTCCTTCTTGCTCTTGTGTTCTGCCTTCGTGACCCCCAGCTTCTCTCCCTCCAGCTGTCATCTCCATCCTACCCTCCAGTTCCAGTGTTGCTGAGCATGCAGCCTGTCTTCCTGGTTTTGCTTTGCCCAGGTCTTACCTCCCATTCGCTCCTTCACTTAGGCTCTAGATCTGTTTTCTCCCCTGGCTCTGCCACTCACACTGAGGTCCTTGACTCCATCTGGAGATCAGTCAGTGCAAGTATTTCTGGGAGTCCATCTGCTACATGCACTGTTCAACTTTTGCCAATTGATGGAACCTGGTCAACCTAACAGTACTGTAAATAGTAAAAGCGAGTGTAGTAATGTTTAAATATCGTTGTACTGTATTTGTTTTATGTTTGTGATGCACTTTATTTTGCAAGTTATTCCAGCTAGGAGAGCACATGTACAGCACAGCATTTCATTTATTGCGTTTTTCTGGTGAGAAACATCTGACTGAACCTACCTCTAGCTATAACATTGACTCTTACGGGAAACAACGATTCACTTTAAGTCATGACTTTCAGGAATGTAATCTGTTTCAGTGTTACTGTAACTATGTAGATCGTTTGATGAGACAGTCCATATGCAGCGCTCTGTAAGTTTGATGTCCTTACTTAAGGAAGAATATACTTCCTCAAAGAGTGCAATAAATATTCATTCAACTGATCCTGGGACAAGGTAGCTATGAGGAAGCATTGAATAGATGGGGAAAATATACCCTGAATTTTAGAAGAATTTTAAATCTTGCTGAAAGACATATAATTCTTAGAAGCTCAGAGATCGTCAGAATTGCTGATGCTGGAGTCTGAGATAACACAGTGTGGAGCTTGAGGAACGCAGCAGGCCAGGCAGCATCAGAGGAGCAGGAAAGCTGACATTTTGGGTTGGGAACCCGAAACATCAGCTTTTCTGTTCCTCTGATGCTGCCTGGCTTGCTGTGTTCCTCCAACTCCACACTGTTGTCTAATTCTTAAAAGCGTCGGTTTGGATAGAAGCTGGAAGGGTGTTTGCCCTAAATGTTAAGTGTCTGTCATTGTATCAGAATAAGGGTTCAGCTATTTAGGATTGAGATGAGGAAATATTTGTTCAAGCAAAGTGTTGTGAATCTTTGGAATTCTCTATCTCAGAGGTGTGTGGATATTCTGTTGAGCATATTTAAGACAGAGACTGGTAGCATCTTTGGACATTAAGGGATATGGGGATAATACAGGTAGAGTTGAGATAGAGAAGCCAATTAGTCTACTCCTCCTGGAGGAGTATTATTTACACCATAATAAAAGATATCAAATATAACTGAGTAAAAGGATGCTTTTGGAGGGCACAAGTGCAGGTTGGTGGCTGTGGTTTTTATAGGCCAGAGGCTTTTCCTTTGCATTGTGGAGTTAGGGGTGTTGATCTTACCAGTACACATTGTATGGGATCGTGCTAATCCTTTAGTTCAAAATTGTATGGTTAACAAGGCAGTTGCATGCAATTCTATAGGAGTTATGATCAAGCCTTCTTGGTGGTGTGAGGGTTAGAAGCCGTTAACATTAAGACAAAGGGTTACAATGCAAATAAACAGGTGGCCCTTTCCTTAATTTAATGGAAAGTCAATAACAGTGTTTGCAAGATAGGTGTAACTTGCAATTCCACTGTGCAGGGGTTGTCTTGGAGACAATCGTCTCTGTAGAAGCTTATAACACAATATTTCTGTTGTTTTTCCAGTTGCATAAAGAGGTAAATGAGACAGTGATTGCTATTAGAATTGAATCCATACAGTGTGGAAACAGGCCATTTGGCCCAACAAGCCCACACCGACCCTCTGAAGGGCATTCCACCCAGAACTGTCCCCTAACCCTGCATTTCCTATGGCTAATGCACCTAACCCTCACATCCCCTGAACACTATGGGCAATTTAGCATGGCCAATCCACCTAGCCTGTACATCTTTGGACTGTAGAAGGAGACCGGAGCACCCGGAGGAAACCCACACTGACACAGGGAGAACGTGCAAACTCCATACAGACAGTCACCCGGGGCGGTAGTGAACCCAGGACCCTGGCACTGTGAGGCAGCAGTGCTAACCACTGAGCCACTGTGTCGGCCATTTAATTTTGAGAAGCTTCCAGAAAGTTACCTCTAAGATCAGTCACATGCAGCCATCTTTGTGAAGCTGTTTAATGCTTTTAAAGCAGTGACTAAATACATATATATCTAAAACCATGACTTAGCAATTGCTTTCTTTACTCCATGCATGATGATTAACAGAAAAAATATAAAATCAATTTGTTTGTAAAAGGTCTAACAATTAGAAGCTGAACAAATGAGACTGTTCTCTTGGAACACAAACTTTCAGTGCCAGAGAGGTCATTTATAGTAAAAAACACTTATTGCATAGACTGAAATTCTCCAATCCAGACTTTATAGCCAGTTTAGTTTGTAATTACCATGCAAATATATGAATTTCAGACTATTTAATATTTTTTTGTGATAGTTCCAACAGAAATGTTTGGTTTGCAGAGTTAATGGCAGATTGGCACATCACTCCTATATTTTCATGTGGAATCACTTCATAAGTTGCTTTTTGTGCACAAATACAGGTAAATGCTGCCAGCTGCATTGTTCTTTTGACAGTAAATTCTAACCCAATCTTTTATAATATAAATGGCTGGGTCAATGGCTTTAGGGAAGATAGAATATTGTATGCATCTCAAGCAATTTTTATGAATGGGCAGATCTACATATAGGAGCTGAAAAATGTTTGTTATTTTACTATCAGCAAAATGTTTAACATTATAACTTGTGCCAGTGTTTAAATATATCACTTGAACAAATCATAATTTACTGAACAAATGATTTGACTTCTATGATGGTTCTTGCATAGTTGCAACCACTTACGTTATTTAGCTCAATTTAATGCTCAAGTACAGCGATTTCTGCACATTACATCCCCAAGGCTGATTTCCGAGTGCTAACAAATAAATCACTTGAATTAGTTATGAAGTAGAGTTGGTGACAATTCCAAGGATATGGGAGGTTGCATTATCATGTTAAATCAGTATTACTGTCAGCGCGTATTGAAAACAGTTATTTCTGTTGTCAATCTATATTAAACAAAATGTGCTACATTCGTTACATTGTCTACCTTTGTTGCAGATACCTTTTGAAATTCTATGGACAGAATCCTTGGGGATGTGCCAGTACTTCCAGATAGAGGAGCCAATCGGTTTGAAAACCGCTGTACTGTTTTGGACCATGTGCAGGCTCCTGTGACTAAGGGAGCCTCTAGTTATAATAGAGTGCGGCTTTCCAATGTGGCACATTGCACAAAACAAATGCATGAAAGTGGGAATTTGACCAGTGATACTGGTCTTCTGACAACTACACTATACCTTTAACATTAAGCAAGAACTGAGCTGCAAATGTTGGTACCAATGAAACATTTACTGGCACTTTGCCCTATTTATTTTCTGCTTAACAGCTCATTGGAGCTGGTTGGACTTGCATGTTACTGTTAATTACATTTTCTGGCTGACAGCTTAGTGGAATTTAGAATGTAAAAGGTTGTAGCCCAGCAATTGACTATCAACATTGTGGACATTGTTGATAAACCCGACACAATTTCAAGAATTGCAGTTTAGCTTAAGCTCAATACAATCTTGACTTCTGGTTGTAAGCCAGACTTTGAATTTGCAAGACATAGCTCATGAGAAAAAAGAGCCCTGAGATCAGTTGGTTTATAAAGGTATGAACAGCTGATAGCAGTGGAAAATATAGGTCCAATGCCCCCCCTGCATCTTTGTGTATATTAAGGTATTTCATTTGTTCTGGGAGGAGATGGTAAAATGTGGAATATTGTATTTTCCAAAACTTGGACCGAAGAGAAGAAATTGGGCTTTGTGAGGGATTGAAATATGTCTTTAGCAGTGAGAAGTGGATTCTACTTTTTCTCATGGCACTAATGATAAAAGATTAATGCTTTAATCAAACTAGTTCCTTCTCATTTTAGTTGCCTTCTAAGTGAACTGAGAGACTTGTTTATGTAACATCTAGTTTGACAATAATTGGATTTCTCAATTTAAACATAAAAGCAACATACTACAAATGTTGGAAATCTGAAATAAATCAAAAACTGCTGGAAGTATTCTGCATCTATAGAGAGAAACAGTATTAGTGTTTCAGGTTTTCATTTTCTGCTTGGGGATTTTGCAGCCAGAGATTCATGGAGTCATAGAGATGTACAGCATGGAAAAGTGAAATCATACCAAAGTTGTATGAATTAACGCTGTGAACTTAAATTTAACAAAACCAACAGTTCTCATGCTGCTAATGTTAGCTTGCATGATGCGTTATTTTATAGTCAGGGCTATTTTATAATGGACCTTGCAAGAAATATTCTCCTGCATTGTGGATCTTTGCAAAGGTTAATTTTGAAAGATGACTTTGCAAAATATAAAGGCTGATAGCAAAGGCTTGTGTAAGTATATAAAAATGGAAGACAGCAACTAATGTTAACGTTGGTTCCTTAGAAGATCAGATTTGAAAATAAGGAACACAAAATTAACAGAGGCAGTAAATCAATTACTTTGCTTCAGATTTCACAGCAGAGGACTCTGAAACTCTCCTGAAAGTAAAATCGAATGCAGAAGTTGTAGAAAAGGACGAACTTAAAACAGTCACTAGGGAAAAGGTACAGAGGAAAGTTTTAGGCTAAAGGCAGTCAAATCACCAGGATCTGAAGGCCTGCATCCTAGGGTCTTAAAGGAAGTAGCGGCAGAGATAGTGGATGCATTGGTTATAGTATTCCAAAATTTCCTGAATTCTGGAAAGGTTCCAGTGGATTGGAAAATTGGTAATATAACGGCCTTATTCAAAAAGTGATAGAGGCAGAAAGTGGGAAACAATTAATTTAATGACTGTTGTTAGAAAATTGTTGGATCCAGTATTAAGGTAATAGTAATAGGACATTTGGAAAGTCAAAACACAATCTGTCAGCTTAGTTTTATGAACGGTAAATCATGTTTGAGTTATTTGCTTGAGTTCTTTGAGGATGTAATAAACAAAGTGGATAATGGGAGTCCTGTAGATGTAGCACATCTGGACTGCCAAAGGCATTTGATAACTACCGCACAAATGGTTACGACGCAAGTTAAGATAGTACAGGTTAGGGGGCAATATATTAATTTGGATAGAGGATTGGCCAACTAACAGAAAGTGGAGAGTTATGATAAATGGTTCTTTTTCTGGTTGGCAAGTTGGCAAGTTGTAACTAGTGTGGTCCCATAGGGTTCAGTTCTCCTGGCTCCAAATATTTACATGCTGCATTATTGACTAGGGATAGAATGTACTGTAGCCAAATTTGCAAATGACACTAAAATAGGTGGGAAGTTAAGTTGCAATGAAGAAATTTACAAATGGATGTGGATAGATTAGGTGAATGGGCCAAATTTGACAATGGAGTTTGATGTGAATAAGTGTGAGGTTATCCATTTTGGTCAGAAGAATACAAAGGCAACCTTATTATCCAAATCGAGAGAAGCTTCAAAATGCTTTAATGCAGAGAGCTCTGGGTGACCTTGTGCATGAGTAGCAGAAAACTAGTATGCAGGTACAGCAGGTAAGAAGGAGGCCAAATGGAATTTTGGCATTTTTTGCTAAAGGAATGGAGTATAAAAGCACAGAAGTGTTGTTACAACTATACAAGGCATTGGTGAGATTACATCCGGAGTAATGCATACAGTTTTGGTCACTTTACTTGAGAAAGGATGTAATTGCATAGGAGGCAGTTTAGCAAGGTTCACGAGACTAATTCAGAGATGAGGAGCTTGTCTTATAAAGAGAAATTGAATAATTTAGGCCTATATGCAGTAAAGTTTAGAAGGATGAGAAGAGATCTAATTGAAATGTATAAAATTTTAAAGGGGCTTGACAAAGTAGTTAGAGCAGATGCTTTTCCTTGTGGGGCAATCTAGAACAAGAGCTAAGGGACAGCGGATTTAAAACACAGATAAAGAGGAATTACATCTCTCAAATCTCTGATTCAAATACATGAATCTGTGGAATTTTCTACCCTAGGGTGTTGTGGATGCTGGGCACTGAATACATATGAATGGGAGATAGACAGACAAGGTCAGTAAAGCCCCTGAGGAAATCTCTGATAACCAAAATTATGAAACTCAGAGTCATCATTGAACCAATGGCAAGGAATGTTAGATCTTTTGTAACATAAGATTATTGGAGCATGGAATATTTTACTGTAATCATCTATTCAGGCAATGATCATAATATCATTTAAATGGGCATTGGATAAACATTTATTTAAGAAGGACAGGGCAGTGGGATCAAAACAATCCAATAAAGGGCTAGCAATGGCACAGATAGACGGATTGAATGCTTTTCTGTGCTATACTTTGTAAATGTAGATTCTTGACTTACTTTTACAGAGAAACAATTTTCTTGACTTAAAACTTCGATAGTGTTGAGAATAGAACAGGGGAGCGCTTTAATTCTCAGGTCAATGTGGTCAAAAATATAGTTCTGTTCTGTATTCTACTGAAATATTTTTTAGTACCTTATTTTCATCAAGTGGAGAATGTGAGTTAAGAGTATATAACAGGCATTTGTTCTTTACACATCAGTTTATGAAATTTTCAATTTTTTAACATGCCTTTTGAAACTATGGAAAGTTCCTGCAGACACCTCAATGATTTCTTGGTTGTGAAACTGATCCATGAAATTATCCTTATGAAGCTGTCCTTTGCAGCAGGTGCAATGCAAGTCTGTTTTCTTCTGATAAGTGAAGGTTTAAACCTGAGTTTTACATAAATGGGCTTTCAATCTGGCAGGCCCATCTGTGGCTCTCTGAAAGTATGAGACGTGATCTGTTTATATAGTCCTTTCGCCTTGAACTGACAGTGCAGTCTCTAGTGGTGTTAGATTTTCTAAAAGCAAAAAAGAATTGCCTTAATATAAGAATATTACGATTTGAAATTTATTTGAAGTAGTTTATTTGAAGGAGGGAAGAGGTTTGCTGTAGAAAAATTACCTTAAATCTTTTAAAATGTACAAACATCTTGTGGAGAAATATGGTATTTAGAGGACAAATTGAAGTTGCTTTCCCAAAGACTGTAAGCAATGAATGATTCATTCACTCTACTTGGTAATGAAATCAGGCCATTCAGTCCATGAGGTGCGCACCAACCCTCTGAAGAGGGTCTTACCCAGACCCACCTCCGACCCTATAACCCTGCATTTCCCAAGGCTAATCCACCTAACCTGCATGTCCCTGGACACTATGGGGGAATTTAGCATGGCCAGTCCACCTAGCCTGCACATTTCTGGGCTGTGGGAGGAAACCCATGCTGACATGGGGAGAATGTGCAAACTCCAAACAGACAGTCACCCAAGGGTGGAATCAAACCCAGGTCCCTGGCGCTGTGAGGCAGCAATGCTAACTACTGAGCCACTGTGCCTCAAACATCACTTGTTCTGGCAACTCTGATCCTTGACACTTGCCAAGTATGTTGATGGGCTTTCCTTTTTAATTTTTAACAGAGCGGAGAAAACAACTCAATGACCGAGACACTGGTTGTTAAGTCCAACAGAAGTTGTAATGACAAATGATTTTTTTTTTCAAAACCAAGTTGCTGAAGGAAGGTTGCACCGTGCGGTGAAGGTGTATGCCAACGTATTGTTTGAACTTGTTATACGTGGAAAAGTGTTGCACTTTCATTACTTTGTGTTATCCAGGAATAAAGTGCAATCTTAAACTAAGCAGCTTACTGAATTGTATTGGGCCTCATCGAACCACGTTTTCAAAGTCTGCCTTGAAAGTGGTTGCAGTTGCAATCATACAAAATACATGAATATCTCAATTAGATTGAAAGGAGCTATTATTGGTTTAAATGCTGTTTGTTTAGACATCAAGCAGAATGGGTGTCTCCTTAAATGCAATGCAGTACAAACATACATAGGAGTGACTGGCACTTTGTACCACAGAGAATACTGAAGGCAAGGCCTGATCGAGGAACGTGGGATGCTGACAGCTCAAGGTTATTAGTTCATTCTTCAAGATGAGGGTGAATTTGTGATTTTGTAACCAGCTGTGAGGAAAGGATAAGTGATTTTATTTTGGGTTATTGGTTCCATTAACGTAGTTATATAACACAATGTCCAGGAATTTTTGATGTTTTAATATTGTTGGCTTCAGTTGTACGTATCAGCAATTCTACAGGGAAGATTTGAGTTTCATCTGCAGATTTAAATTATTATGCAGAGTGAGAGTTTCTGGCATGTTAAAATGCCACATGGCTTTCTTTTAAATAGGATTGGGATGAATACTCAGAGCAATGGAAAATCTTATTCCCATAAACACTGCAAACAGATGGCTAATAGCTTAGAAGTTAAAATTGAATCAAGCTATGA